GAATGCAGTTGCAAGTTGCAATCTGTAGTTGGAGGTTTGTTGTTTTCCTTCGTTGTTTGTGTTATTTTGTTATTTTCCCTTTTATACTTCATCTTTCACACATACACACGTGCACGCGCGCGCGTACACACACACACAAAGACAAATACGAACACACACACAACTTAAAAGATTTATTGAATACATTAGATGGCGGTCTAGTTTAACACAACCGTATTTTCTCACAAAGTTGCTAATGGTTATAAGCTCATGCTGAGAGTGGCCTATTATGCAGAATAAGTTATATCTTGTTGACAAGTTCAAGCAGTACTCACAATTGCATCATACTCATCATTATTAAGCATTTCTTCTCTCTCGATTTCAAACTATGAACTTTGCAATCACCATGCATTTTTAGATTATCACATGGAAGAATAATAAAAAAAAAAAATCAACTAATTGACACATCGTCTCTCAAAAGAAAATACGAAAGAGATATACACAATAACATGTAAAAAAGTAAGAAAATGACAGATAATGAGATTTATTTTGAAGGGCAAGTTATTTTTTTGTTGTTTAGTTTTAATAGCGGGTTAATCCCTCTTCTTTCTTGTGAGTATATAAAATACGACTGACGATAAAGGAATCTTGTATGGGCAGAGGTTTTAAAATGCAATGCTTTTGATTCAACGGTATTTGTTTATTGAAAATAAAAGTCTACGTGTGAATGGGAATATACTGTGTGTGTGTGTGTGTGTGTGTGTGTGTGTGTGGTGTGTGTGTGTGTGTGTGTGTGTGTGTGTAAATACTGACTTCCATATGGAACAAGAGACTGACAACCTGTTCTTTCGAGCCAACATGAGCTTACTCTTCAAACGGTGGTGAAGATATAAAGAAACGTCAACAATAATGACAATTTATTTTTAGCAGTACTACAGATAGCCGAATCAAATGTATAACTCTTAAAATCTTGCACTAATACAGACAAGCATGAAAGACATAATGATTCGTACAGACACTAGGGAAGCCCTGATAACTAGTGTAAAGAAACAAAAAACATTGATTTGCACAGGCACTGAATGGAACCTTGCTAAGTTATGTTTACACGAAAAAAAAACACTTGATAGCTTACACTGACGATAAGAAATCTCAATCACTTTGTACAAAGAGACGAATAGAACTGCTGATAACTTTTTACTGACAGAGGAAAAGCTACTAATTTACGTTAAGACAAATAAAAAACCTTGCAGGAAAATCACTTAATGAGAGTCCAACGGACGTTGTACGACGAAGGTAAACCATCCTGGAGACTCGTCAGGGCCCTCCGGATGCCTCCTTACACTGCGCTAATCGACCTTCTCGATGGTTTGCAAGAGGATGCGGACACCGGGGGAAACGGGAAGTTGCATGGGATTGGATTTGAATTGTAGGCCCGGTGTAGGGACTAAAGGCCATGAAACAAAACAGAACAATAAAGCGGCAGAGGATTATCGGTGGGCTAGAAGGGAAATGCATTGTATGGTGACTATCAAATCAAAATAAAAGAGCAACAAGGCAAGAAGACGGGGATCATGACGTACATGTAGGCGGGATTTTGTACTGGGAGCCGCGCTTCTGTCGCCACCATCAAGGATGACAACCTTTGGGATTAAAGATAATCAGTCATAATGAATAACATACTAAAATCAGACTAAAACACGTGTCTGTACAAAGAGCATTACGCAAAGTATAAAAATGTGGATATTATATATAATATATATATATAAGTTGCAATTACTAATACATTCGTGAATATACAATCGCATTAACCCAAAGACCGATAGACACCACACACGGGAGAAACATAAAATCAAAGTAATAACACTCACAACACCAGTTCTTAAATAATCACTTTAGTAAATCTACTTTAGTATACAAAAACTTGATTAAATCCTACTTACGAGACACAAAAATGACCCCTTACCAGAAGTCAAGCGATCCCCTCACGTCCGAGTCCTTACGTGTCAGCACTGGAATCGGCAATGAAGGACAATGAGTTTGAGTTTTGCGAAGTCTGGCTTCGCCCGGGCCTTCGGCTATGGCCCGGAATGAAGGACAATGGCTGGCGATGCTTTTATATACGGACGAGGAAATGGGAGGAGCTTTGGTTAAGTGAGCACGAACCGCACGTGGCTGGGGGGGGGGGGGCGCAGATTCCCAAGCAATGAAGGGATTTTCTTTCCTCTCCCTCTCTCTGATTTGATCGTGTTTTTGGCTTTCGATCTTGTGTGGTTCTGTTCCTACCTGTCCGTCTGGCTAGTACATATACATATACATATATATTCCTGAACGCCCACCCCCCTCCAAAAAAAACTAATTTGAATTTTTGCGTTGACAATAATGAATTTGAACAGAAGATCTAGCGTAACACAGCACAGAGAGAGAGAGAAAAAAAAAACGACAACAAGAACAGCACTATGAAAACTACCCTTGAGAAAAGAAAAGAAAATGAGAAAGAGAAAAAGGACAATGATAACGATCGTATCAAACTGAAAATGTAATTATCAATATTACTTACAGCAAGAAGCTTATGAACCACAGCGAAGGAGGGAGGGGCCGAAAGGGGCGGAGCTTAGAAAATACATAGATCTAACATAGACCTCAAGAAAAAAAGAGAAAAAAAAGAAAAAGAGAAAAAAAGAAAGGATATTAAAAAAGGGATCTATATATAAACAAAAAAATCTTATAGAACTTCAAGGTTACAGTTGCCAACTATCCCACCTCTATACTTATTGTCCTATTGACTTGATTTTCCCTTTTATATTTTCCTTTCTCTTTAATCCTTTCATTTTATTCATTAACGAAAAGCGTAGCTAATTGTTATTCAAGTTTATATATATGTTGTATATCTAATAAAACCAACGATAACCATATGATTAAACGTGAATTTTACCCTGCTATAACCTTCATCGCCATACAAGCAATATGACAATATTTTCCTACTGTGGTTTCATGCGTGGGTCCTTGAAGTCCTGTTCCCTAAACGTAAGGGTCTTAAAAGCAAGCAAACAAAGAAACCAACCAACCAAAAACTTTATTGTAGGATGTGGCAAAATAAAGACAAAACAAAACAAAACGAACATTAAACACTACAGTGTCACCCGATACCAAACGTGACAAGGCAGAACGCATAAACTCCATTCATAAAAAAGTTTGCAGGATTTTGGTATGTATGGAATCAGCAGAAAAAGGCGATTTTATTACTATTGTGTTATTTTACATTCATAATTATAATGAATATTATCTATTTCATTGTCATTGAATCATTGATGGTAGTGAGTAGGTCGTAAAACCTGTGGCCATTATTTATGGGTATCAACAGGCAGTCCAAGCAAACTCCAAAGGTTTCCAGTTAGAAGGCCTAACGCATTATGGCCGTGTTCACATATCAGAAGGCGTTAACTGACGAGGACATAATGCATTCTGCCTGAAACTGTGATGAGTGCATGGGGGAATCATTGCTTTATGTCACCGACTATCTTGCTTTGAAGTATGTTGCAGTTGCGAGTTCAGGAATAGAAAACATTGTCTGTCTGCCACTGTTCGACTTCAGAATTATCTTGTTTTAGAGCTGTATGCTGGATTTTCGACTCCAGGAATATCTTGTTTCGAATATGAATCCTGCGACTTCAGGAATAGAAAACATTGCCTGGCATGTGTAAGGTGTCCGAGAGAAGGCTGTGGAAGATGGTCCTAAGATACGAATCTGTTATCCAATGTGATGATAATGGTAATAATAACAATAAAAATTCTAATTTGCAGTGGAAAGTGATATTTCATATGAATACTGATGGGAATGAAGGAGAAAGAAGGAAAAAGAACACAGATTACAATTAACCATTAATTGACAACAGTTAACCAAACACACAAACAAGGAAGTTAATAGTAGTAAAAAATCGACATTAAAATACCTCCATAGATGATTTTTTTTTAGATCGACACAGAATCTCGCTCTGTTGTTAAAAAAATGTTCGTTGGTAATAGTGTGTGTGACTTCTTTATTATAGCAGTAGATGCGAGGGTGTTGCGTGACCTGTGCCTTTTGCGTAATTGTTTTTTTCTCTAGTCAAGGAATGCAGTTGCAAGTTGCAATCTGTAGTTGAAGGTTTGTTGTTTTCCTTCGTTGGTTGTGCTATTTTGTTATTTTCCCTTTTATACTTCATCTTTCACACATACACACGTGCACGCGCGCGCGCACACACACACACAAAGACAAATACGAAGACACGCACAAAAGATTTATTGAATACATTAGATGGCGGTCTAGTTTAACACAACCATATTTTCTCAGAAAGATGCTAATGGTTATAAGCTCATGCTGAGAGTGGCCAAATATAAAGTGATATTTTGTTAACAGTTTTTTCATGCAGTACTCACAGTTGCATCCTACTCATCATTATTAAACATTTCTTTCTTGATTCCAATCTTGATTGCAATTATCATGCATTATAGATTATCACAAGGAAGAATTTAAAATGCTAAATACTGGCTTCCATATGGAACAAGAGACTGACAACCTGTTCTTTCGAGCCAACATGAGCTTACTCTTCAAACGGTGGTGAGGATATAAAGAAACGTCAACAATTATGACAATTTGTTTTTAGCAGTACTACAGATAGCCGAATCAAATGTATAACTCTTAAAATCTTGCACTATTACAGACAAGCATGAAAGACATAATGATTCGTACAGACACTAGGGAAGCCCTGATAACTAGTGTAAAGAAACAAAAAATATTAATTTACACAGGCACTAATGGAAGCTTGCTCACTTATGTTTACACGAAGAAAACACTTGATAGCTTGCACTGACGATAAGGAAATCTCAATAACTTGTACAAGACATGAATAGAACGCCTGATAACTTTTACAGACAAAAAGAAAGCCTACTAATTTACGTAGACGATAAGAGAACTTGAAGAAAATCTCTTAAGAGAATCCGAGGACGTAGACGACAAGGAAAACCATCCTGAAGACTCGCAAGGCCTTCCGGAGTCCTCCTTACACGCGCTTATTGATCTTCTCGATGGTTGCAAGATGATGAGGACACGGTGGGAACGGGAAGTTGCATGGGATCGGTTTGATTGTAGGCCCGCGTGTAGGAACTAAAGGCATTAAACAAAACAGAACAATAAAGCGGCAGAAGGATTATCGGTGGGGTTAGAAAGGGAATGCATTGTAGTGACTATCAATTCAAAATAAAAGAGCAAACAAGGCAAGAAGACAAGGGATCATGACGTACATGTAGGCGGTATTTTGGCTGGGAGCCGCGCTTCTGTCGCCACCATCAAGGATGACAACCTTTGGGATAAAGAAAATCAGTCATAATGAATAACATACTAAAATCAGACTAAAACACGTCTGTAAAAAGAGCATTAGACAAAAGTATAAAATGTGGATATATATATATATATATATATATATGTAAGTTGCCATTACTAATTACATTCGTGAACAATACAAAGATCGCATTAACACAAAGACGGCGATATAGACACCACACGGGAGAAACAAAAAAAACAAAGTAATAACAATCACAACACCAGTTCTTAAAAGAATCACTTTAGTAAATCCCTTTAGTAATCCCACTTACAACAAGAAACGCAAAACGATTAATCCTACTTACAAGAAAGACAACAAAAATGAACCCAACTTACAACAAGAAAGTCAAAGCGATCCACCTCATCGTCGAGTCCTTACTTGTCAGCACTGGAATTGACAATGAAGGACAGTTTTTTTTTTTTTTTTTTTTTTTTTTTTTTTTTTTTTTTGATTCGCGAAGCAGAGCCTCGCCCGGGCTATGCCTATTTGGGGAGCCCGGTTCTTGAAGGACAGTGACTGGCGATGCTTTTATATACGGACGAGGAAATGGGAGGAGCTTTGGTTGAGTGAGCACGAACCGTACGTGGCTGGGAAGGAAAGAGGGGGGGGGGGGGGGGGTGGGGGGGAGATTACCAAGCTGTGAAGGATTTTCTTTCCTCTCCCTCTCTCTAATTTGATCGTGTTTTTGGCTTATGATCTTGTGTGGTTCTGTTCCTGCCTGCCCGTCTGCCTAGTATATATATACATATACACATATATTCCTGAACGCCCACCCCCCTCAAAAGAAAAAAAAAAACTGAATTTTTGCGTTGACAATAATGGTGAATTTGAACAGATCTAGCGTAACACAGCATAGAAAAAAAAAACGACAACAAGAACAGCACTATGAAAACTACCCTTGAGAAAAGAAAAGAATATGAGAAAGAGAAAAAGGAAAATGATAACGATCGTATCAAACTGAAAATGTAATCATTGTTACTTACAGCAGGAAGCTTATGAACCACTTTATTATGTAACTTGCAGTTTCATTCTTCGAGGGAGAATTGACCAGACCAGTTAGAAGACCTAACGCATTATGGTCGTGTTCACATATTAGAAGGCGTTAACTGACGAGGACATAATGCATTCTGCTTGAAACTGTGATGAGTGCATGGACTTATTGCTTTATGTCACTGATTATCTTGCTTTGAAGTTGTATGCTGCAGTTGCGACTTCAGGAATAGAAAACATTGTCTGTCTCTCAGTGTCCGACTTCAAGATTATCTTGTTTAGAGTTGGATTTCGACTCCAGGAATATATTGTTTCGAACTGCGACTTCAGGAATAGAAAACATTGGCATGTGTAAGGTGTCCGAGAGAAGGCTCTGGAAGATGGACCTAAGATACGGATCTGTTATCCAATGTGATGATAATGGTAATAATGACAATAATTCTAATGGCAGTGGAAAGTGATATTTTGTTGCAATATTGATGGGAATGAAGGAAAAAGATGGAAAAAGAACACAGATTGCGATTAACCATTAATTGACAAAACACACAAACAAGAAAGTTAATAGTAGTAAAAAATCGACATTAAAATACCTTCATAGATGATAAAATTTTCAAACAATCGAAGTTAGACACAGAACCTCACTCTGTTGTAAAAAAATGTTCGTTGGTAATAGCGTGTGTAACTTCTTTATTATAGCAGGAGATACGAGGGTGTTGCGTGACCTATGCCGTTTTGTGCGTAAATGTTTTTTCTCCAGTCAAGGAATGCAGTTGCAAGTTGCAATCTGCAGTTGGAGGTTTGTTTTCCTTCGTTGTTTGTCATTTTGTTATTTTCCCTTTTATACTCCATTTTGTTTCACACACATACAAACACACACACACACAACTTAAAAGATTTATTGAATGCATCAGCAGATGGCGGTCTAGTTTAACAAATAGCCATATTTTCTCACAAATTTGCTGATGGTTATAGGCTCATGCTGAGAATGTGGCTTATTATACGGAACAAGTAAGTGATATTTTGTTGACAGGTTCAAGCAGTACTTAAAGTTGCATTTTACTCATCATTATTAAACATTTCTTCTCTCTCGATTTCAAACTATGAACTTTGCAATCACCATGCATTTTTAGATTATCACATGGAAGAATAAAAAAAAAAAAATCTAATTGACACATCGTCTCTCAAAAGAAAATACGAAAGAGATATACACAATAACATGTAAAAAAGTAAGAAAATGACAGATAATGAGATTTATTTGAAGGCAGTAAAGCGGGTTAATTCCCTCTTCTGTCTTGTGAGTATATAAAATACGACTGACGATAAAGGAATCTTGTATGGGCAGAGGTTTTAAAATGCAATGGCTTTTGATTCAACGGTATTTGTTTATTGAAAATAAAAGTCTACTTGTGAATGGGAATATACTGTGTGTGTGTGTGTGTGTGTGTGTGTGTGTGTGTGTGTGTGTGTAAAACCGCACAAACACATATATGGTATATAAAATATGTACACAGTATATGTAGTGTATATATATTATATATACATATATATTGTATATGTATATATATACATCTATATATAAGCAAACTCAAATATAAGGGATTATTTTTCTTTTTCAAGCTAACAAACAAAATATCGCTGAAATACTGACTTCCATATGGATCAAGAGACTGATAACCTGTTCTCCTTTCGAGCCAACATGAGCTTACTCTTCAAACGGTGGTGAGGATATAAAGAAGTATGAACAATTATGACAATTTATATTTAGCATTACAACAGATAGCCGAATGAAATGAAGAACTCTAAGTCAAGCATGTAAGACATAATAATTCGTATAGAGACTAGGGAAGCTCTGATAACTAGTGTAAACAAACAAAAAACAATGATTTGCAGAGGCACTAATGGAACCTTGCTAACTTATGTTTACACGAAGAAAGCACTTGATAGCTTGCACTGACGATAAGGAAATCTCAATAACTTGTACAAGATACGAATAGAACGGCTGATAACTTTTACTGACAAGGAAAAGCTACTAATTTACGTAGACAATAAAAAACCTTGAAGAAAATCACTTAAGAGAGTCCAAGGACGTGTACGACAAGGAAAACCATCCTGAAGACTCGCAGGGCCCTCCGGAGTCCTCCTTACACGTGCGAATCGAACCTCTCGATGGTTGCAAGAGGACGACACCGTGGGAACGGGAAGTTGCATGGGGTTGGAGTGATTGTAGGCCCGGGTGTAGGAACTAAAGGCAGAAAACAAAACAGAACAATAAAGCGGCATAAGGATTATCGGTGGGGCTAGAAAGGGAATGCATTATGGTGACTATCAAATCAAAATAAAAGAGCAAACAAGGCAAGAAGACAGGGGATCATGACGTACATGTAGGCGGGATTTTTCCTTGGGGCCGCGCTTCTGTCGCCACCATCAAGGATGACAACCTTTGGGATAAAAAAAAATCAGTCATAATGAAGAACATACTAAAATCAGACTAAAACACGCCTGTACAAAGAGCATTAGACAAAAGTATAAAATGTAGATTTATATATATAAACTTGCCATTACTAATTCATGAACAATACAAAGATCGCATTAACACGAACAAAGACGGCGATATAGACACCACACGGGAGAAATAACAAAAACAAAGTAATAACAATCACATCAACAGCTCTTAAAAGAATCACTTTAGTAAACGCAGTACATTAATCCCACTTACAACAAGAAACGCAAAACGGTTTATCCTACTGACAAGAAAGACAAAAATGAACCCAACTTACAACAAGAAAGTCAAAGCGATCCACCTCATCATTGAATCCTTACGTGTCAGCACTGGAATTGACAATGAAGGACAGTGACTGGCGACGCTTTTATATACGGACGAGGAAATGGGAGGAGTTTTGGTTGAGTGAGCACGAACCGCACGTGGCTGGGGAGGAAAGGGGTGGGGGGGGGGGGTGGAGATTCCCAAGCTGTGAAGGGATTTTCTTTCCTCTCCCTCTTTCTAATTTGATCGTGTTTTTGGCTTTTGATCTTGTGTGGTTCTGTTCCTGCCTGTCCGCCTGTCTAGTATATATACATATACATATATATTCCTGAACGCCCACCCCCTTCAAAAAAAGAATCTGAATTTTTGCGTTGACAATAAAGATGAATTTGAACAGATCTAGCGTGACACAACATAGAAAATAAATAAATAAATAACGACAACAAGAACAGCACTAAGAAAAGTACCCTTGAGAAAAGGAAAAAATATGAGAAAGAGAAAAAGGAAAATGATAACGATCGTACCAAAATGAAAATGTAATTATCATTGTTACTTACAGCAGGAAGCTTATGAACCAGTTCATTATGTAACTTGGAGTTTCATTCTTCGAGGGAGAACTGACCAGACAAATTCAGACTTTCCCCTTTATTTACGCAGCGAAGGAGCGAGGGGCCGAAAGGGGCGGAGCTTAGAAAATACATAGATCTAACATAGACCTCAAAAAAAGGAAAAAAGAAAAAAAGAAAGGATATTAAAAGATAGATAAAATAAGAAAAGGATCTATAAAAAAAAATAATATATATATATATAGAACTTCAAGGTTACAGTTGCCAATTATCCCACCTCTATACTTATTGTCCTATTTACTTGATTTTCCCTTTTATATTTTCCTTTCTCTTTAATCCTTTCATTTTACTCATTAACGAAACGCATAACTAATTGTTATTCAAGTTTATATATATATGCTGCATATCTAATAAAACCAACGATAACCATATAATTCAACGTGAATTTTATCCTGCTATAACCTTCATCGCTACACACGCAATATGAATGTTTTCCTAATGTGGTTTCATGCGTGGGTCCTTGGAGTCCTGTTCCCTAAACGTAAGGCCGTCTTAAAAGCAAGCAAACAAAGAAACCAACCAAAAACTTTATTGTAGGATGTGGCAAAATAAAGACAAAACAAAACAAAATAAAATGAACATTAATCAGTACAGAGTCACCCGATACCAAAACGTGACAAGGCAGAACGCATAAACTCCATTCATAAATTTTCCAAGATTTTGGTATGTATAGAATCAGCAGAAAAAAATGACGATTTTATTACTATTGTTATTTTACATTCATAATTATATTGAATATTATCTATTTCATTGTCATTGAATCATTGATGGTAGTGAGTACGTCGTAAAACCTGTGGCCATTATTTATGGGTATCAACAGGCAGTCCAAACAAACTCCAAAGGTTTCCAGTTAGAAGACCTAACGCATTATGGTCGTGTTCACATATTAGAAGGCGTTAACTGACGAGGACATAATGCATTCTGCTTGAAACTGTGATGAGTGCATGGACTTATTGCTTTATGTCACTGATTATCTTGCTTTGAAGTTGTATGCTGCAGTTGCGACTTCAGGAATAGAAAACATTGTCTGTCTCTCAGTGTCCGACTTCAAGATTATCTTGTTTTAGAGTTGGATTTTCGACTCCAGGAATATATTGTTTCGAACTGCGACTTCAGGAATAGAAAACATTATCTGGCACGTGTAAGGTGTCCGAGAGAAGGCTCTGGAAGATGGACCTAAGATACGGATCTGTTATCCAATGTGATGATAATGGTAATAATGACAATAATTCTAATGGCAGTGGAAAGTGATATTTTGTTGCAATATTGAATGGGAATGAAGGAAAAAGATGGAAAAAGAACACAGATTGCGATTAACCATTAATTGACAAAACACACAAACAAGAAAGTTAATAGTAGTAAAAAATCGACATTAAAATACCTTCATAGATGATAAAATTTTCAAACAATCGAAGTTAGACACAGAACCTCGCTCTGTTGTTAAAAAATGTTCGTTGGTAATAGCGTGTGTAACTTCTTTATTATAGCAGGAGATACGAGGGTGTTACGTGACCTATGCCGTTTTGTGCGTAAATGGTTTTTCTCCAGTCAAAGAATGCAGTTGCAGGTTGCAATCTGCAGTTGGAGGTTTGTTTTCCTTCGTTGTTTGTCATTTTGTTATTTTCCCTTTTATACTCCATTTTGTTTCACACACATACAAACACACACACACACACAACTTAAAAGATTTATTGAGTGCATCAGCAGATGGCGGTCTAGTTTAACAAATAGCCATATTTTCTCACAAATTTGCTGATGGTTATAGGCTCATGCTGAGAATGTGGCTTATTATACGGAATAAGTAAGTGATATTTTGTTGACAGGTTCAAGCAGTACTTACAGTTGCATTTTACTCATCATTATTAAACATTTCTTCTCTCTCGATTTCAAACTATGAACTTTGCAATCACCATGCATTTTTAGATTATCACATGGAAGAAAAAAGAAAAAAAAAAATCAACTAATTGACACATCGTCTCTCAAAAGAAAATACGAAAGAGATATACACAATAACATGTAAAAAAGTAAGAAAATGACAGATAATGAGATTTATTTGAAGGCAGTAAAGCGGGTTAATTCCCTCTTCTGTCTTGTGAGTATATAAAATACGACTGACGATAAAGGAATCTTGTATGGGCAGAGGTTTTAAAATGCAATGGCTTTTGATTCAACGGTATTTGTTTATTGAAAATAAAAGTCTACGTGTGAATGGGAATATACTGTGTGTGTGTGTGTGTGTGTGTGTGTGTGTGTGTGTGTGTGTGTGTGTGTGTGTGTGTGTAAAACCGCACAAACACATATATATGGTATATAAAATATGTACACAGTATATGTAGTGTATATATATTATATATACATATATATTGTATATGTATATATATACATCTATATATAAGCAAACTCAAATATAAGGGATTTTTCTTTTTCAAGCTAACAAACAAAATATCGCTGAAATACTGACTTCCATATGGATCAAGAGACTGATAACCTGTTCTCCTTTCGAGCCAACATGAGCTTACTCTTCAAACGGTGGTGAGGATATAAAGAAGTATGAACAATTATGACAATTTATATTTAGCATTACAACAGATAGCCGAATCAAATGGAGAACTCTAAGTCAAGCATGTAAGACATAATAATTCGTATAGAGACTAGGGAAGCTCTGATAACTAGTGTAAACAAACAACAAACAATGATTTGCAGAGGCACTGATGGAACCTTGCTAACTTATGTTTACACGAAGAAAGCACTTGATAGCTTCCACTGATGATAAGGAAATCTCAAGAACTTGTACAAGATGCGAATAGAACGGCTGATAACTTTTATTGACAGAAGGAAAAGCTACTAATGTACGTAGACAATAAAAAAAACCTTGAAGAAAATCACTTAAGAGAGTCCAAGGACATGTGCGACAAGTAAAACCATCATGGAGACTTGCAGGGCCTTCCGGAGTCCTCCTTACACGCGCTAATTGATCTTCTCGATGGTTGCAAGAGGATGAGGACACGGTGGGAACGGGAAGTTGCATGGGATCGGTTTGATTGTAGGCCCGCGTGTAGGAACTAAAGGCATTAAACAAAACAGAACAATAAAGCGGCAGAAGGATTATCGGTGGGGATAGAAAGGGAATGCATTATGGTGACAATCAATTCAAAATAAAAGAGCAAACAAGGCAAGAAGACAAGGGTTCATGACGTACATGTAGGCGGTATTTTGGCTGGGAGCCGCGCTTCTGTCGCCACCATCAAGGATGACAACCTTTGGGAAAAAGAAAATCAGTCATAATGAATAACATACTAAAATCAGACTAAAACACGTCTGCAAAAAGAGCATTAGACAAAAGTATAAAATGTGGATATATATATATATATATATATATATATATATATATATATATATAAGTTGCCATTACTAATTACATTCGTGAATAATACAAAGATCGCATTAACACAAAGACGGCGATAGACACCACACGGGAGAAACAATAAAAACAAAGTAATAACAATCACAACACCAGTTCTTAAAAGAATCACTTTAGTAAATCACTTTAGTAATCCCACTTACAACAAGAAACGCAAAACGATTAATCCTACTTACAAGAAAGACAACAAAAATGAACCCAACTTACAACAAGAAAGTCAAAGCGATCCACCTCATCGTTGAGTCCTTACGTGTCAGCACTGGAATTGACAATGAAGGACAGTGACTGGCGATGCTCTTATATACGGACAAGGAAATGGGAGAAGTTATGGTTGAGTGAGCACGAACCGTACGTGGCTGGGGGGGGGGGGGGGGTCGGAGATTCCCAAGCTGTGAAGGGATTTTCTTTCCTCTGCCTCTCTTTCTCTCTCTCTCTTTATCGTGTTTTTGGCTTTTGATCTTGCGTGGTTCTGTTCCTACCTGTCCGTCTGTCTAGTATATATATACATATACATATATATTCCTGAACGCCCACCCCCTTCAAAAAAAGAATCTGAATTTTTGCGTTGACAATAAAGATGAATTTGAACAGATCTAGCGTAACACAGCATAGAAAAAAAAATAATAATAATAAATAAATAACGACAACAAGACCAGCACTAAGAAAAGTACCCTTGAAAAAAGGAAAAAATATGAGAAAGAGAAAAAGGAAAATGATAACGATCGTACCAAAATGAAAATGTAATTATCATTGTTACTTACAGCAGGAAGCTTATGAACCAGTTCATTATGTAACTTGGAGTTTCATTCTTCGAGGGAGAACTGACCAGACAAATTCAGACTTTCCCCTTTATTTACGCAGCGAAGGAGCGAGGGGCCGAAAGGGGCGGAGCTTAGAAAATACATAGATCTAACATAGACCTCAAAAAAAGGAAAAAAGAAAAAAAGAAAGGATATTAAAAGATAGATAAAAATAAGAAAAGGATCTATAAAAAATATATATATATATATATATAGAACTTCAAGGTTACAGTTGCCAATTATCCCACCTCTATACTTATTGTCCTATTTACTTGATTTTCCCTTTTATATTTTCCTTTCTCTTTAATCCTTTCATTTTACTCATTAACGAAACGCATAACTAATTGTTATTCAAGTTTATATATATATGCTGCATATCTAATAAAACCAACGATAACCATATAATTCAACGTGAATTTTATCCTGCTATAACCTTCATCGCTACACACGCAATAAGAATGTTTTCCTACTGTGGTTTCATGCGTGGGTCCTTGAAGTCCTGTTCCCTAAACGTAAGGGTCTTAAAAGCAAGCAAACAAAGAAACCAACCAAAAACTTTATTGTAGGATGTGGCAAAATAAAGACAAAACAAAACAAAATAAAACGAACATTAATCAGTACAGAGTCACCCGATACCAAACGTGACAAGGCAGAACGCATAAACTCCATTCATAAAAAAGTTTCCACGATTTTGGTATGTATGGAATCAGCAGAGAAAGCCGACGATTTTATTACTATTGTGTTATTTTACATTCATAATTATTTTCAATATTATCTATTTCATTGTCATTGAATCATTGATGGTAGTGAGTAGGTCGTAAAACCTGTGGCCATTATTTATGGGTATCAACAGGCAGTCCAAACAAACTCCAAAGGTTTCCAGTTAGAAGACCTAACGCATTATGGTCGTGTTCACATATCAGAAAGCGTTAACTGACGAGGACATAATGCATTCTGCTTGAAACTGTGATGAGTGCATGGACTTATTGCTTTGTCACTGATTACCTTGCTTTGAAGTTGTATGTTGCAGTTGCGAATTCAGGAATAGAAAACATTGTCTGTCTCTCAGTGTCCGACTTCAAGATTATCTTGTTTTAGAGTTGGATTTTCGACTCCAGGAATATATTGTTTCGAATTTGTATGCTGCGACTTCAGGAATAGAAAACATTGGCATGTGTAAGGTGTCCGAGAGAAGGCTGTGGAAGATGGTCCTAAGATACGGATCTGTTATCCAATGTGATGATAATGGTAAAAATGACAATAAAAAATCTAATTTGCAGTGGAAAGTGATATTTTATATGAATACTGATGGGAATGTAGGAGAGATGAAAAAAGAACACGATTACAATTAACCATTAATTGACAATAGTTAACCAAACACACAAACAAGAAAGTTAATAGTAGTAAAAAATCGACATTAAAATATCTCCATAGATGATAAAATTTTCGAACAATCGAAGTTAGATCGACACAGAACCTCGCTTTGTTGTTAAAAAATGTTCGTTGGTAATGTATGACATCTTTATTATAGCAGGAAATATGAGGGTGTTGCATGACCTGTGCCTTTTGTGCGTAATTGTTTTTTTCTCCAGTCAAGGAATGCAGTTGCAAGATGCAATCTGCAGTTGGAGATTTGATGTTTTCCTTCGTTGTTTGTGCCATTTTGTTATTTTCCCTTTTATACTCCATCTTCTTTCACACATACACACGTGCACTTGCGCGCGCGCACACACACACACACACACAAAGACAAATACGAACACACAACTTCATTAGATGGCGGTCTAGTTTAACACAACCGTATTTTCTCACAAAGTTGCTAATGGTTATAAGCTCATGCTGAGAGTGGCCAATTATAAAGTGATATTTTGTTAACAGGTTCATGCAGTACTCACAATTGCATCCTACTCATCATTATTAAACATTTCTTCTCTCTTGATTCCAATCTTGATTGCAATTATCATGCATTATAGATTATCACAAGGAAAAATTTAAAATGCTAAATACTGACTTCCATATGGAACAAGAGACTGACAACCTGTTCTTTCGAGCCAACATGAGCTTACTCTTCAAACGGTGGTGAAGATATAAAGAAACGTCAACAATAATGACAATTTATTTTTAGCAGTACTACAGATAGCCGAATCAAATGTATAACTCTTAAAATCTTGCACTAATACAGACAAGCATGAAAGACATAATGATTCGTACAGACACTAGGGAAGCCCTGATAACTAGTGTAAAGAAACAAAAAACATTGATTTGCACAGGCACTAATGGAACCTTGCTAAGTTATGTTTACACGAAAAAAAAACACTTGATAGCTTACACTGACGATAAAGAAATCTCAATAACTTGTACAAGACATGAATAGAACGCCTGATAACTTTTACAGACCAAAGGAAAACCTACTAATTTACGTAGACGAGGACGTGGACGACAAGGAAAACCATCCTGAAGACTCGCAGGGCCTTCCGGAGTCCTTCTTACACGCGTGAATTGAGTCTTATGAAGTCGATGGGTCTAGGATCACAAGGACACGGTGGGGACGTAGGAACTAAAGGCAGAAAACAAAACAGAACAATAAAGCGGCAGAAGCATTATTGGTCGGGCTAGAAAGGGAATGCATTATGGTGACTATCAAAGCAAAATAAAAGAACAAACAAGGCAAGAAGACAGGGGATCACGACGTACATGTAGGCGGGATTTTGCCTTGGGGTCGCGCTTCTGTCGCCACCATCAAGGATGACAACCTTTGGGATAAAGATAATCAGTCATAATGAATAACATACTAAAATCAGACTAAAACACGTGTCTCTACAAAGAGCATTACGCAAAAGTACAAAACTAATGATATAATTATCATTATTACTTACAGCAGGAAGCTTATGAACCACTTCATTTTGCAATTTATAATTTTACTCTTCGAGGGAAAACTAACCAGACAGATCTGGATCTGTCTGTCCTTTATATACGCAACGAAGGAAGGAGGGGCCGAAAGGGGAGGAGCTTAGAAAAAATCTAGCATAGATCTAAAAGAAAAAGAAAAAGAAAAGAAATGAAAGGATATTAAATAGATAAATTAATAAATAAAAAAGGATCTATTAAAAAAAAACCCTCTTCGGGCAATAGACACGTTATAGAACTTCAAGGTTACAATTGCCAATTATCCCTCTATACTTATTGTCCTATTTATTTGATTTTCCCTTCTTTTATATTTTCCTTTCTCTTCAATCCTTTCATTTAACCTTTAATGAAAAACATAGCTAATTGTTATTCAAGTGTATACATATATGCCGTATATCTAATGAAACCAACTATGACCATATATTTAAAACGTTAATTCTACCCTGCTATAATCTTCATCGCTACACACGCAAAATGACTGTGGTTTCATGCGTGGGTCCTTGGAGTCGTTCCCCAAACGTAAGGCCGTCTTAAAGTCAAGCAAACCAGCCAACCAAAAACTTTATTGTAGGATGTGGCACAATAAATAGACAAATAAAACAAAACAAAATAAAACGAACACTGTAGGGCAACCTAAAGAGTTAGTTATACCAGGCTTGACATGGCAGAAGGCATTAACTCGATAAAAAAGTTTCCACGATTTTGTTTGGTGTTAAAAAAAGATGTCCGTTGGTAACAGTCTGTGTAATCTGCAGTTGGTGGTTTGTTGTTTGTTGTTTTCCTTCGTTGTTTGTGTCCTTTTGTTATTTTCCCCTTTATACTCCATCTTCTTTCACACACATACATACACACACTCATGCGCGCACAAACACACACACACACACACACACACACACACACACACACACACACACACACACACACACACACACACTCACACACACACATGATTTATTGAATGCATCACCAAATGGCGGTCTAGTTTAACAAACCAACGATAACCATATTTTTAAAACGTCAATTTTACTCTGCTATAACCATCACCACAACACACGCAAAATGACTGCTTTCCTACTGTGGTTTCATGCGTGGGTTCTTGTGGTCCTGTTCCCCTAACGCAAGGTCGTCTTTAAAACAAGCAAACAAACAAAGCTGAAAACTTTATTGCAGGATGTGGCAAAATAAATAGACAAATAAAACAATACAAAATAAACATTCTAATGGCACTGGAAAGTGATATTTGATATGAATACTGATGGGAATGAAGGAGAAAGATGGAAAATGAACAAAGATTACGATTAAAAATTAATTGACAATAGTTAACCAAACACACAAACAAGAAAGTTAATAGTAGTAAAAATTGGACATTAAAATACCTCCATAGATGATACAATTTTCGAATAATCGAAGTTAGATCGACACAGAACCTCTCTCTGTTGTAAAAATAATGTTCGTTGGTAATAGTGTGTGTGACTTCTTTATTATTGCCGGAGATACGAGGGTGTTGCGTGACCTGTGCCGTTTTGTGCGTAAATATATGGTTCTTCTCCAGTCAAGGAAGTCAGTTGCAAGTT